GGGGGGGGGTCTCGTCGTGAATGTCTTTTTGCTTGCGGGATATATCCCGCCCTGCAGTTCTGCAGAAACTGGGATCGTGGCATGTATCCCGTTATTCGGTCGCAATGGCAGCCGTACCAGTGTTTGGTGTGCACACGTGTGCACGAGTCATTTTTTGTGGGTGAAAGTGGTGTTTTTTCAACGTCTGCTGCTGTAACTGGAGGGCTTGTCTGGCGGGGGAATACTCAACCCGCGTGACGGCTCATGCCAACGTTTGCTACAGTAGTGTATTTGAAGTGTGAAATCTATCAAGTTGTGGAGTCATGGGCGTGGCAGGGGGGCAGCGAGTGGGGCATCTTGTCTCTCGCATCGTTTCCTTGCTGGTTTTGATGTGGGCGTTTCTGTCCTTCGCGATTGGATCCTCACAGCGGTGACTCTTGCTGTTTTTGTAGTGTGGGATTGTTGTGTGAAGCTTGACTAGTCCACCATAGTAGTAAAGGGATCCCCGCTCCGCTCACGGCGCCACGGGGAGAGATCTGTAAATCATTTACAACACGCGGCGAAATCTGAACTCTGTAGAACAAGGCTTGGCATTGGAGCGCTCTGAAAGAGGAGATACTTGACGGAAGTATTGAGAGTCTATTTCAAAGAGAGTTACTAGTGGGGGCAAACCCAATCCACTAAACGGCAAGTGTGCAAGACACCACAGCAGTACACTGCTGTAGCACGAAAAACAGCAGTGTGACGTGGATGCCAGCGGCGGTGTTTGAACAAGTGCACGGCTACGCGGTGTGAACAGTCCGCAATGCATGAGATAGATACATACTTATGAGATGGATATGTACATGTACCGTAATCATCGGGGTCTTGGCGCACTGTGCGGTCACTTTTTAAATGTTTCGAACTTCAGACTTGTTTCGCACAGGTGTGCGAAGACCCCGATATGTGCGATCCTAACATTGAAAACCACAGGGGATAGCAGCACTTCGCGTCCATGGTATTGTTGCTGCAACACGATCAAAACACAACCAACAGACAAGCTATTAACAGCACAGTGCCAGCCGGCACTTAAGAACCTCCTATATTGGACGAGGCTCAGTTCTTATTGGCTGCCCCAACCCGAGCACCAGTTCTTATTTGCTAAGTTCTTATTTCGTCGTCCATTCTTGTCCAGAAATAAAGGGGCGTTCTTGTTCTTACAGTTTTTTAACATCATTTGCTATGTTGGCCGTCAACCATGAGCAGCACTAGTACTGCTGTCGATACAAGAAAATACCAAGGCATGGAGCAGCAACTGTCAACCTTCTTGGTCAACAAGGGTGACGTTGGTCCTGCGTACCCTTCCTGATCTACTAATGCTCTCAAGCGAAACCGCAAGGGGGAACACTGAAAATGAAACGTGTCCCTTGCAAGTAGAGCGACAAATTTACGTGTCCCATGCTTCCAGGTGACAACGGCAAATACCGGAAATGCCAAAATGCCGCCAAAATTCCACTGAACCAGAATTCTACCCTTCAAAGAGTCAGCCGAGTATGCACATGAAGGAGCGCACACGCAGCCATTCGTCTGAGCTACTCCCCCACCTCTCCTGGTTTTCGGAGATAGCCGGTAATTCGGATCCAGCCGTTGTGCGATACGTAATCATCTCCGTTAGGATTTGAGGAGGACGGAGTCTAAAGCTGTGGAGAAGCACTGCGCCTGTTCGCTCCTTCCTACTGCTGCTTGAGACTGACTTGGGCCCTCCAAAACTCCGACAGTTACGAACAAAGTCCTTTGTGTGTGGTCGAAGATGGACTGCGTCTTTGTACAAGCCCAACATGCCACCATGCACAACATACTGCTGCTGCCGTTCACCTGTCGCTGCTCTTCCACGTCTGTCTCCTGTCCATGACACATGCTGCCACTTGATGCGACAATATCTGGGAACAACACGGACGCAGGGAGTACTCCCCCTACCCATACACACACCGTAAAAATTGAGCAACCTCTCATTCCTCCCTTTCCACATACAACTGATGTTGATGCATGAAATGATACCCTCTGTCTTTACGTATGGTCCGCGCTGTCTACAATGGGAAAGGTAGCCATACTTTCTGCAGACACACGGGCGGGAGAGGTGACCATACCCACTGCATTTAGCACACACCCACATGTCGGTATTGAACCTCAACCACACGCCTCTCGAGTCTATTGGCGGCCACGTCAGGAGGCAATGATGCGATAATGTTCTCCCATGCCCTTCGCACATTTAATGACGTGCAATTACACAACACCGTCCCGCACATGCTCCCATGCATACACACCCCGAGGCACGCTTGCTCCGCAACCACATGAGGGTGCTATAATAGAACACCCGACCAACCGAGTTCCCCTAAATCTTCCGTCTACAACTTCCCAACATAGCATGCAGATAGATACACAACAAGATGGCTACCAAACTGCCTTGTTGAGCCTGTTACCCACAGGGGAGATATCGCTGTATGCTGTCTGGGAAACCATAGACATACAGGCAGCTTTCGCTCACGCTATGGATTCATTGCTAATCTATCTTAGACTTATTTCTATAGATAGACATGGATTTGTTGTGTGATAATAAGAAAAAAAAGCCTACAGCCGCATCCGAATCTCCGCCGTACTTGTCTAAGGGCAACTTCATCTTGCGCGTACTCTGGTCTAGCTCCAGCTGCACACAGTAGTCGTACAGGTGGCGAGTGTCCTTCTGAGATTTTTGAATGATCAGCCCTCCAAACCACCCCATGCCCAGCCTAACGAGCACTCCACGCCGCAAAAGCAAACTGTCAAGAGCAACGGATTTAGCTTCTTGAATACGAAAGCCTGCCGGGATCTCCATTCCCTGTATCTCATCCACCGGGTCTTGTGGATCCATGCTGTCGTCGTCGTCCAGAAGAGCTAGCTCGTCGGTCTGGGGTTGAGAGATGTATGCGAACGAGGCAGCAGGAAACACAAGAAGTTAGGGTGTCACGTCGTCAAACTCAACCTGAACTTANTTTGAATGATCAGCCCTCCAAACCACCCCATGCCCAGCCTAACGAGCACTCCACGCCGCAAAAGCAATCTGAGTTCCTAACAGGGCGTGCAGCTGAGCACGTGTTCTTATCGGTAACTTCTTAAGTTTTGGATCATTTAGCATCAAATTCTTATGTGCCATATTCTTAAGTGCGGGCCGGCACTGTAGCTGCACACACAAACGAGTCTCGGGGATCTGCAACCACAACAGTTCCGTGGCGGAGAAATACCGGCGAAAAAAACGGGGAAATGCCCGGGACGGAGCTGCGGGCTTGACCACATGCAACGCGCGGCTACGACGCGGGACCTGCCGACGCCTCACAGGCCTCACAGGCTAGTGCTGGCGGTTTTTCCTCTGCGGATCAGGGAGATGCCGCTGCGGACCCGAAGGCAACCGGCGAGGCTATCGATGAGATGCTAGCCGCCAACGACCCCGTCCGTCAGAAACAGCAACGGCAAACGCGCGTACCCGAAGCCCAACTTCCCGATCGAGCGGTCAGGAGCAGTGGGAGGGAAAGGGAGCTACCCCATCCGGTTCAAACTGAACGCGGCGGCCTACACACGGGAGATCTGCCCTTGCGACGGTCAACCGGTAGGAAACAACGGCGCGGCGAAAGTTCTTCAGGTGCCTCGGAAGCGTGTCATCAAGTGGCTGAACTGAAGCAGGAGGAGCAGCTCAGTCAGAGAGAAGGCCAGCGCCAACCCCAAGCTTCGAAGGCCAAGCAGGTTCACAGCGGAGGGAAAGCTTCGACAGTCGACGCCGAACAAGCCCTTGTGGACTACATCAACGAGCAGCGCAATCAGCACCGCGGTTGTGGTAATCGGGAGGTGATGAACAAGCTGCTCCAGCTGAAGCCTGACACCCTTGGCGGGATGCCGGCGAACGCGAAACCGGAGGAGGCGCTGGCTTTCAAGGTCAAATTCAACTCCTGGTACCAATGGTTCCGCAAGCGGAATGGGTTCAGCATCCGCCGGCGTACCAGCGTTGGCCAGAAACTGCCGAAGGGTTACGAGGGTGTGGCGGGGGCGACGGTGATGAAGCTGCGCGAGGCTCTCGTAAAGCGCGCCGGTGAGATCTACGCTCGGCGCCACCCGCCGGCACCAGACGAGAGCCCCATCAAAGGGGAGGATCTGACTTCCGAGCAGCTGGCGTCTGTGGAGGCGAAGGTTTTCGAGGAACTCGGCAACATGGACCAGACGCCAGTCCAGCACGAGATGCCAGTGGAGAACACTCTGGAGAAGGCCGGTGCGAAGGATGCTCGCATCAGCACAGGAGGTGAGGGCGAGCTAATATTTTTGTAAAATTTTATGTGGTGTGCGGATATTTTGTCGTTCGACAATTTTTTGAGACATGTTTTTTTTTTGCGTGCCGGCACACGGTGCGATGTAGCTATCGGTAGACACAGGAGGGTTGCTACCTTTTTCTGCGGGATTATTCTACACTTCCTTTTTCATTTCATCCAAACTATCGACCAAATTTGTTTTCGAAACGTCCGGTACCGTTTGCATCCATTGTATCAACCACACACCGCTGTCCTCGCAGAAATATTCAACACTCTACTCCCCCCCCCCACTCCCCCCGCGTTGATTTTTCCCCCCTATTCGTACGTTGGCAACAGCATTGTCACTGCAGTCGCTGTACAGCTATTCCTTCAGCTGTGGCTACAAAGTAGCTAGCATGTGATGCGAGGTTAGGTAGGCAAACACACAGAGTGATATTAATTATCCACACAGACGCCCAAGCTGTCTTCACCTGACGGTTACAGACTTGGCAACACCTTCACAATACTGCATAAACCTATGCAGTAGAATAGAGTCGTTCTTGCACTACAATTACTCCAACATGTCCTCTCAAGAACTACGTCAT